GTGGGGTCGTCCGAAGGGCTTGCGTCAAATACTCATTGCTTCTTTGAAACCTTCAACAAGCTCGAGGATTAAACAACTTTCGATGACTTCTTTGGCCTCACCACGGCAGTATTGTGTCAGATATGAAGTCGGAAAGTCAAATCGGAAGTTGTTCCCGTCATCTTGTCTTCAAAGCACGCATAAAAATCCAGTAGCAAGCTGGATCACCACTAAATGTGATCAGCTCTTGCTTGGAGAGACAGGACGTCGTGTTCGGACCGAAACAGTTGGATTTGTGATCAAGAAAGCAGTTCGAGGCAGCATTTGAATCCAAATGGAGGTTTGCGCCACGATCTCGAACTCCCGAACCTGAGACCGCCAGAGAATCATCCAAACGCGCCACCGACGACATGCGCCGAGCTTAAGTTATCGGCTTTAGAGAAGATGGTCGAAGAGCAATATCAGAATAAAGACCGCAAACACCGTAAGACCAATAATCAGTCCGTTTACTGATCGGCAGATTCGACGTAACATCGTGCCCAAAACAACCATCTTTATTTTGCTTGGCCTGCAGACGCATCTTAGTGAAAGCCGACTCCAGCCTTATAATCCGGACCTCAGCATTCCGCAATTTCTCAGCATCTGTAATATCAACAACAGAACAGCAGTCCTCAGCATCAAAATCAGAAACATACGTTATTACACTATGCAGCTATGTAAAGACTATATGAAGCCTAGACTAGGTAATCGCACGTGATGGGACAAGGAAACTATAGGCTAGTAAACCTATGTTGCAAGCATGGTCTGGATTCACTGGCTCTTCTTGCACCAAATATATGACACCGTACACCATTGCTCACGCGGTGCTCCCACCAGGCATGAGCTAAGCTACGAAAGCAGTGCTAATCGAACGTGACTAGCCTCTTTATATCTGTCGACCTGACGGGCCAAGTTTCACAACCGGATAAGAGGGTCGAACGGATGGCTGCGTTATAAACCCTGCTGTTCGCGACTAGACTGATGTCGCGTCGGCGCCGCAAGTTGTGTAGGTTGCAAAAGCACCTCGAGCTTTTGCTATACGGTTCGTAACCACATCTTCGATCCCAGGAGCGCTAATATAGCTGCCCAGGTGATTGAATTACTGAATGACTTCTAGCGTCCGTCATTCTAGCATGTAAATACGTACTAGTAACACCGATGGTTTCACATGACTTATAAACTTGACAATCTTTCAGGGAACCAAGTGAAGTGGTGGATAGAGTCGGGCTCGTTTAGCCTCCACTTCCAATCCTCACTTGGGTACGTGTGATTTTGAGTCGATGTGGTCAAGTATGCTGATAGATAACAGATAATCAGACCCCGGAATGTCCTATAGCTCATCTAGGTTGGAACCATACGTCTCGTTCAGCTAATGACAAAACTACCTTTTCGGTCAGTGACCTTGCAGTCCCGAAGATCACTGGTTCGAACCCGCTTAGGTGCTAGTGACCTCACGGTGTACGTAGCCCATGCGCACCCGATGAAGAAGGAAACAGGAAAAGACATCCGCAGTACGCAGGCAAACCGAACCAAAGCTTTGTTGCGACGTGATCAACCCCAGTCCCACGGGTGTATATGCTCAAACGATATGTTTGCGAAATGTGATTCAAGCACTGATGTAATTTAGATATCCGCTAACTCATCACAATAGCGGGACATGGCCCCGCTTATGGCACCTTTCACAAATATGACGTTTGAACTGGCGAAAGCGTGCGAAATGCCCTTCTCCGCATGATCAGCATGCTGTGGGCGGTTTGTGCGTGGACTTCTTGAATGGTTTGCTTGGGTTGACAGTCCTGGCCTTTTTCGCGTAATTCCCGGTATCTGGTGGTGCCAGATCATTCTTTTCTATCAGGGCGATGTTGTGTTTTAGAGTGAGCCGCCGTTTGCATTCGCTTACCAGGGTCTTCAGCCTCGGATCGAGAAAGAAACTTTGGCTATGGTGTACACAGTCAGGAAAGTCCACAAAATACTGTATGACCACCGCATCAAGTTGCTGACAGATCACAAGCCCTTGCTGGCTATCTTTAGTTCGACAAAGGGCATCCCGGGTTACACAGCTAGCGGGCTACAACATTGGGCTCTCACCTTAATAGGGTATGATTTTGAGATCCACTACCAGTCGACAATTTCCATTGACCAAGCGGATTCCCTGTGAAGCTTAATTGATGCCTATCAGCAAGAACATGAGGGCACAGTCATTGCCTCGGTCGAGATCTAACCTTACTTCAATTAACTGGTGAGTGGTGCATTGCACGATCTGCCAGTTACCGCAGAAGCTGTACGAACCGAAACGTTTCGGGACCCAGTACTCAAGTAAGTTATACAGTTTCACAAAATAAGTTGGCCAGGTTCATGTCCATCTGTCGAGTTGCAACAGTACTTTCAGAGGAGACATTCGCTCTCTATTGTGAACGACTACCTATTATTTTCGGAAAGAGTGTTCATCCCCAAGGCACTTCAGGAGCGCCTTATTCGGCAGTTCCACGCCGAGCATCCTTGGATCAACTGGATGAAGGCGCTTGTCTGCAGTTATGTATACTGACCCTTCATGGACAAACAGAAGAAATACCTAAACGTTGCCAAAAGTGCGCCAACGTCTTGAAACGCTACAAAATGCAGAGCTCCATTCATGGCCAAAAGCAAATAAACCATGGTACTGCGTCCATGTTGACTTCGCAGGACCGATCGTCGGTCGGTTTCCTCAATATACTCGACTCATACAGCAAGTGACCCGAAGTATTTCTCATGGATAGCACAGCCACCAATGCTGCTGTATCAGAACTACGCCAAACCTTTAGCAGATTCGGTTGTCCAGAGACCATTGTAACTGACAATGGTACACAATTTACTTCGGCAACTTTTACGGAGTTCTGCAGAAAATGTGCTGTCCAGTACGTTCGTTCGCCGCCGTTTCATCCACAGTCAAATGGCCAGGCAGAAAGGTTTGTCAATAGGCTCAAGCGAGCTCTCTACAAATCAAAAGGTGAGGGACGTACAGAGGAGGTGGTTGACCAGTTCCTTTTCCTCCACCGATCAACACCGGATCCACAAGCGCCGGATAGAGTTTCTCCGGCACAGGCTATGATGAACCGGAAGCTCCGCGTGCCTTTCGTGGCCATACGGCCGTGCTTAGAGCCCTCGGTTGGTGAAAGAAACTGCAGAATAGAAAAAGATTTTAACCGACGGCATGGAGCAAAGAAACGATCATTTACACTTGGACAGATATTGCTGGTACGTGACTATCGGGAAGATCACGCGAAGTGGACACCATGGACGGTCAAAAAACAAGCGCGGTATTGTCATGTATGACTTCATCCTGGGAACAAAGATCTGGGCCCGGCATGCACACCAGCTACGGCCAACACTGTTTCAACCAGATGAAGCACAACCTACCGATCTCCCGTTCGACTTATTGGTGGAAAGCTTCAACTTGCCAAAGGAACCCGTGGACGACTGTGATCAGTCGAGCAACGAAACTAGACCACAGATTTGTAACCAACTTCTCGAGCACTTCAGCCCACGAGATGGACCCCGTCCCGTAAACTGCAAGTTAATCCCTGGTTTTCATCATCTACCGCGGACGTCATCTCAGGAGGGGAAGTGTCCCGGAGAAGATGAGAATTCCATGAAAATCCATTAGTTCAGGGATTACTCGATTGTTATCGAGTATCGCATCTATTTCGAAACTTCTAGAATATTCCAGTGCCTGCACGTGACTAGTAACCTGAAGAGCAGACAAATCTACGTGAAGTAACTAACCTTGTCGGTTGACCTTCCTATTCCAGAGGTCGAAGGTCAGTAAGAGACCTATAAACACAGTCACGGTCTGCTGCAGTTGTAAAATGTTTTGTTGACGGCGGGTAACACGTTATTTTGTCAAGGTCATTGGTTCTCTGCCTTTTCCTTCGGTCGGGCTAGAAGTTTCCTGTAGCAGTAGAGTGTCTATTTCGGAATCGCGTCTAGTGTGAAGATTATAACAATTTCACATTCGAAAGCAAAATGGCTGGTAAGCGTTACGTGTTCCCCGCTCGTAACACGGCACCCAAAAACTACTTCTGTACTTCCCAATTTCCATCTGCTTCGACTACGATCCCAGTGATCGCATTGATCAAGGTTCACTTCAATGTGAATCGCGGTCTACAACAAAGATTGCGCATCGCAATCCAAGCACACAACGAGTACTTCAGAATGACCCTCCAATCGGTCTCGTATTTGTTTGCACCTGTCAGGTGAAGATGGCAGCAGCGCAAGCACTTGAAACCGGAGCAATACGACGCGTTTAATTCAACTTCCGCTGAATCGCGGGTACCGCCTATCGCAACGGTTAATGGCACAAGGTGAGAGCACTCGGAGCGCGTGTTGTGTGGACAGATTGCGAGACTCAATCTGCATCTGGACCACGATGAATCTCTGCCCAGAGTGCGACTGTGTTTCGCGACCAACTCACACAAGTGTTCCTTTAACTGAATCAACATAGATATGCACAACCGAGCATATAGGGCGATAATTTATGTTTGTGATACCTGAGTAGACTAATTCAAGTGACTTCACAGTTTTTGTATTTCTGAAGTGTAATTACATTTTGATTCGTTTCCTGTACTAGCATGCCAGCGAACTTTCGACCCGAAGTATCCGGAGGGAAAACATAAACTTCCTAAAATACTACAATACACCGTTCCTCAGAAATCTCGCTATGTCGTATAGCTGCCCAAAAATATAATGACTGTAGCAAAGGGTACATTGTTTTCTCGATTACCTTCAGATAACATGCCACCTCTGAGCCACTGAAGAGAGGATATTCGACCGCAGTGGCTCAAAGATGTGCTGATACCTGCCCACACCTTGCGGAAACCACTGCGTCTGGGCTGAGTATTCTATGTGAAATTAATCCCAGTGCATCAAACGGGCGACGAAACGTCCTTGTAAAAGGAGAGTATAACAGGTGTCACCGTGAAGCGGTTGGCCCAAGGTGGGCAGCAAATTCTGACTAAGGACTCCTACAAAATCTTGCGCAAAACCATACCCGAAATCGCCTAAAGGATGTTTCCTAATGACAACGGAAGCTATCTCGATAAGGCTAAGGAAATATGAACTATGCAGGCTGAGAAACTTCTTGCGGGCCATCATCTCGCAGCGGCCGTAACGAGACCTCGAATGTCATTCATATTCGGACACTGGTGGCGACTGAGTGCAGTCTTTGCCCCCTCATCGGACAGCGCAAGTGTGTTTCATCGTAATGTGTACACGTCAGCGTTGACCACTTGAACACCATCCGAGACGTGGGATCTACAAAATCAAACCCACAAATTTCAGCTGATGCTCAAACATTTACAGGATGTTTAAATGCGAAATGGCAATTGTTGAATAGAAATTCCTTCGCATAGTAAATCTATGCGTTTCCATGGGGTAAGTTAGAAAGATGCTGTATACTTCAACGAAACAACGCAAGACACCGTATTGAAATCGTAACAGTCGGTGACTCCAACGAAGACTCCAAATAAGCCGTTAAGTTAAGAGGCCTGTTCTTATGCCGTGCGCAAATTGGGTATGGTAAATGCAGGTGGAGCACTCAGGTATCTATTGCATCAAAACTTTGCGAAGTGAGAGCTCCTTTGTATGGCTGAAACAGCGTGCGTTCGCGGTCTGGGAGAGTAAGGTAAGTTATTCTGAAAAATAGTCTCTGTATGTACAGCGACATGACACTGGGTCGCTGCGCACTTCGGTTCACTTAAATAACTATTATGAGTACGGAAGACCACCTGACCTCATTGCATACGCTTGCATCGATGTGATATGAAAAATTGTAAACCTAATTTAGACGGCTAAAAGTGGCTGAAAATGCATAATCATAGAATCAGAGAACGAACATCAGAATGCAAAGAGTCGAATAAAAGGGAGCTGATGATTCCGCGAGTTCGCAGTATGTGAGCTTGATCCCGGTCCTCACATAATAAGGCAGAACCAAGCTGTGTAGAAATGTACTGGGCCGCACAAGTGCTGCAGCGACAGGTGATACACACCAGCGAGGAGATGGATTTCCGTACACAAGATGAGGACTATTCATTGAGGCACCATATGATCTGCCAACAAACGTCACCGGAGTAACTCAGCAGTGCCAAATTGCCGGGAACATTATGTGGCCGACGTGAAGCAGACACCAGTGGCCAGGGACAAATAGCCTACTAAAGTCCTCGAAAGAAGGACATGTCCCACATGCATGCACAGGTGTTGATCGGAGTGTGGCTTTGCGCGTCTTCTTCTTGGCTGATAAGCTGACATGTCGCTCCTTACGTAAGTGAGTGAGCTTCTGAGGAGTCATCAGAGCCATGCGTACATACCGACGATGTGTCCTGGTGACTTGGTCACCACCCCGAGCAGCAGCAGCAGCAGCAGCAGGATATTTGATCATGAGAACTTGAGGCTTCTCTATAGGGTTCGCAGCATTTGCTCGCATCAGTAAATGTGAAACAATTGCCGAAGCAAGCAACGGTCCGCATTGGACCACTCCGTAGGGTTCGCATGAGTCTGTAGCTAGCCCTAGGCTGGTGCACGTAGAGGTCACTCGATCACTTAGCAGAAATTGTGCTGCAGAAAAGTCAGGTAACTAGGCGACATCCACAATCATTTCGAGATGATGTTGGTTGGACACTGGCAGTCTTGTTGACCTACTCATAGCAATGAAAGAGGATAGTATCGCGTCGACTCGGAGATAAGAGTCTCAGTGCATAAGTGCCAGAGTGGAAAAATATCCCCTGGCAGAGATTCTAGATGGAGACGTAGCCAAAACAAGTACAACCAATCGAATCGAAGATGATGATTATGTCGACAGAGATTGTCACGGAAGATTGTATGTTATAGTAGAGATGTGCTATTGTTGTGGACCTTGAGGAAACCAATGGGCCACAACAATATGACGGACGTGAGGAGACTGGGGACGGCGGCTATTGGGTCAACATCCAAATGACTTCCACATATGGTCGTTCTACGCCTCCAAAAATGGGATTTCTTGTTGGTATACTACAACCTGGAAGCGCATATGGTTTTGAGAAGAACGGAACGACCGATGTCTCTAGCTCAACTCAGACGTTTGACAGACAGAAGAGAGACACTAAAATACAAAAAAAACTATGAGAGCAAGACTATTCCAGCATTCATCTAGAGCTAATGACAGTCGCAATTATCGTCACTTTATACGTCTGCTAAATGTGAGACGTACCCAAGCTACTGTATCGAGACACAAAGCGCTCAGGAGGTTGTAAAAATTATGGGAAATACAAACAAATCATGCTGTGTTCTTGTTATGCTTTCAGAACAACCCCGTAGTTGGGGCGGAGTTAGATGAGATGGAGGGGGACAAAGAAACTCACAGCACAACCGCCACTGAGGTCGACTGCTGGCCATGTCAAAAAGTGCCTCCGACTGAACGTGTTCCGCGTCCTTCGGACCAACCGACGCCAAGTCCGAAAGAAAATCCTTCATTTTTCTAAGCCAGTTCCTCTGCTGGCTTTCACTTCTCTTTCTCCATCCACACACCCATCGTGCAAGCAACACACAACTTGAGGGATTCAATGTGTTAGCGTTCCTAACACATGACACAACCACCAGAAACGTACGTGAAATAATGATGCTGAGTGGTTCACTTTCTCTTCCTACACCATGAACAAGAAGGTGAACACGCTCAACGACCATGTAAGGATCCCATTAGGTATGAGCCAAATTGTGAAGTCACCGGTGTCGAACGGCAGGTTCAACAGTTTGTAAACGGGACACATGGCAGTTCAAATTCGAAGCTACTGAATACTGGAAGGCACTGAGTATAATTTGAGCGGCAAATTTGTCTGTGCCAAGCAGTTTGCGAAGACGCTGTTGGATGTCACCAAAAATGTTGGACTACTACGGCTCATTCAGGAGCGTGATCAGAAGCGAGACAACTACTCAGCAAGGTGCGTAGCCTAAGAAATAATGTATACGATATGGGTCCACTGATAGGCAGATCTCGTCCCGAAATACTTTCGCCGCAATGTGGTTGTCCCGGATATCTCGGACGGCGAAGTATGTTTACCTGACTACGTGCTGCTTAGATCTGCTCACTCCGTTTATCAGCAAGGCAAGGGCGTTACTCTTTTTGTGAGCTGTAAACTGAAGATTTTGAGGACCTGTACTTTTCACTTGTTGGAGAAAGCTGTCGAAGCTCTATAAGCTGTTGCGTACACCGCCTCTGCTCACTTTACAGTTGTAAGTCCAGAAAGTATTTCGAGGTTGTAGAGTTGATTCATGTTCAGGCTGCCAATTGGTGTCTGGTA